GTGTTTATTACAATGGCTTGTAGTCTAGTTTTATATTAGGTATTGTGATACCACCAAATTTGTTTTTCTTTCTCAAATTTCTTTGGCAATTCAGGGTCCCTTTTGATTCCATATAAAATTTTGGAATATTTTTCTAGATCTGTGAAATGATATAACATTTTAATTATGTTAATTCGTCTTGTCCATGACATTTGAATGATGTTAATTCTTCCTATCCATATTACTTCCACCTATTTGTATCTTCCTCAATTCCTTTCTTCATTATCCTATAATTTTCTGAGTTCAGGTTTTTTATCTCCTTGATTAAATTTATTCCTAGATACATTTATTTTTTGCAATAGTAAATAGGATTATTTTTTTTTGTTTCCATTTCTGAGAGTTCATTATCGTTGTATAAAAATACCACCAATTTCTAAATATTAATTTTGTATTCTTCTACTTTTCCAAATTTCTTTATTAAGTCTAGTAGTTTTTTGGAGGAGTCTTTAGGGTTTTCTATATAAAATATCATGTCATCTGTGAATAATGACAGTTTGGAAAAGTCCTCTTTTCCAACCTGGATGCCTTTTATTTCTTTTTCTTCTCTAATTGGTATGACTAGGACTTTCAGTACCATGTTGCATAAAAGTGATAAAAGTATATATTTCTATTTTATTCCTAATCTTAAGGGAAATGCTTTCAGTTTTTGCCCATTGAGTATGATGTTGGTTGTGGATTTGTCATACATTTAAAGGTCATACATGGCCTTTATGATGTTGAGGTATGATCTCTATATTCCTACTTTGCTAGGAGTTTTACCTTTAATGAGTGTTGGATTTTTATCAGTACATGCTTTTTCTGAATGTGCTGATATGACCATGTGATTTAATTTATTTGTTTATTTTTATTTTTAAAAATATTTTATTGATTTTTTACAGAGAGGAAGAGAGAGGGATAGAGAGTTAGAAACATCGATGAGAGAGAATCATTGATCAGCTGCCTCTTGCATACCCCCCACCGGGGATGTGCCCACAACCAAGATACATGCCCCTGACTGGAATCGAACCTGGGACCTTTCAGTCCGCAGGCTAATGGTCTATCCACTGAGCCAAACTGGTTTCGGCTCTTTTATTTTGTTTATATGATGTATTACATTTATTGATTTGCAAACATTGTACAGTGTACCAACCTTGCATCCTCAGAATATATCCCATTGGATCGTGGCATATTATCATTCTAAGATGGATCTATTTGCTAACATTTTGTTGAGGATTTTATCAGCTATGTTCTGTAGGGATATTGGCCTATAATTTTCTTTTCTTTTCTTTTTTTTTATCTTGTTTTGGAATCAGGATAATGCTTGCCTCTTAAAATGTGCTTGGAAGTGTTCCTTCTTCTTAGATTATTTGTAATAATTTGAGAAGGATATGTGTACCTTTTTAAATATTTGGTAAAATTCAACTGTGAAGCTATCTGATCCAGGAATTTTGTTTGCTGGAAGCATTTTGATTACTTTTTCAATTTCATTACTTGTTATTGATCTACTTAGGTTTTCTGATTCTTTCTGACTCAGTTTTAGAAGAATGTATGTTCCTAGGAATTTACCCATTTTGTCCAGGTTATCCAATTTGTTAGCATATAGTTGTTCATAGTATTTCCTGACATTATTTGTATTTCTTTGTTGTCAGTTGTTATATCTACTTCATTTCTGATTTTATTTGGGTCCTCTCTTTTTCTTGATGAGTTAGAGGTTTGTCAATCTTGTTTACTTTTCAAAGAATCAGCTCTTGATTTCATTGATGTATTGCATTATCTTTTAGTCCCTATGTCATTTATTCCTTCTCTGGTATTATTTCCTTCTTCTACTTCATGCTTTTAATGATAACACTATTGAGATGTCCCCCATTTACTCTCTGTTTGCCCATCTTCATTCTCCCAGGCCTTCCCTTCCCTTGGTCTTCACCACACTGTTGCCCATGTCCATAGGGTGTGCATATACATTCATCAGCTACTTCTTTTACTATCTCTCCCCAGTCATCTCCCCCCCACACCTCTGGCACATGCCAGTCTGTTCCATGTACCCATGCTTCTGGTTCTATTTTGTTTGTCAGTTTATTTTGTTAACTAGATTCCACATATTTGTGAGATAATATGGTACTTGTCTTTCTCTGACTGGCTTATTTTGCTTAATAGGGGTGTCGAACTCAATCAGAGAAGGGGCCAAAATCTAAAATCCAGCCTAAATCGCGGGCCGAATGGTTTACTGAACAGTCATAAACTGTCATTGTGATGGAAACGCAGCAGAGTGCAGTGATGACAGCGTGGTGCGGGCCACATTGCAAGGCCTGGCGGGACGGATTTGGCCCGCGGGCCTTGTGTTTGACACATGCTAAGCCTTAGCATAATACTCTCTAGGTCCATCCATGCTGTCACAAAGAAGACTCATTCTTTCTACAGCCGTGTAATATTCTATTGTGTTAATATACTATCACTTTTTTAAAAATCCACTTCATCTACTGATGGACACTTGGGCTATTCCAGATCTTGGCTATTGTAAATAACACTGTTATGAACATATGGATGACTATTTTTTCTGATTAGTGTTTCATGATTCTTAGGATATATTTCTAAAAATAGGATCATTGGGTCAAAAGGTTCCATTTTTTAATTTTTTTTTTTTTTTTAGGAGACTCCAGGCGCTAGGTTTCCCTTTTCTCCACATCCTCCCCACATTTATTTTATTGATAGTAACCATTCTGACAGGTGGGAGATAATACAGGTGTAGTTCAAATTTGCATCTCTCTGATGATTAGTGACCATGAGCATTTTTTCATATGTCTGTTGGAGAAGTGTCTATTTGGGTAATTTGCCCATTTTTAAAATTGGATTTTTTGTTTTCCTGGTACTGAGTTGTGTAAGTTCTTTATATATATTTGAAAGTTAAACCCTTATAGTATGTATCACTGATGAATATGTTCTCCTAGACAGTGAGTTCTCTTTTCATTTTGTTGATGGTTTCTTTTGCTGTGCAGAAGCTTTTTAGTTTGATGTAGTCCTATTTGTTTAACTTTTTCTGAGTTTCCCTTGACCTCAGAGATATATTGATGAAAATATTTCTGTGAGAGATGTCTGAGGTATTACTGTCTCTGTTTTCTTGTAGGATTTTTATAGTTTCATGACTTACATTTAAGTCTCTTATCCATTTGAATTTATTCTTGTGTATAGGGTAATTTGGTGGTCTGGTTTCATATTTTTTGCAGGTACCTGTGCAATTTTCCCAACACTATTGATTGATGAGTCTTATGTTGTTATTATCAATATACTAGTTAAAATCTAAACACATATAAATACTTTTTGTAGCATTCTTTGTGATTTATAAACATCAATGATCTGAAAATACATTATACTAGTAGTTAGTTCTTTTTTACAATAGACTGAATTAAATATATGATTTCTAATCCTGAGAAACTGAGCATTAAAATAGTTAAGGAGCTGAATTTTAAAGAAGTTAGGACTGTTATAACAGGTACTTCATTACTTACTTGTATTAGAGAATATTCTCCTTTTCATAGCTTAAAGAGTAACATAGATCTCTATTTTCAACATAGAGCTCATTTCATGGTTTGGTTATTCCATGTATGAAGTATCTTTAGCCACATTATACTGTATAGAAATATTTACTTTACACAGATCAGCTGTAAGAAACACAGAAAGACTTATGTTTTCTCCTGGAAAACTTTCAATTCTAGTAGTGGAAATATTTTCTTCCTAGACAATGTTGCTAAAAATTTTGTGGAATAAGAAAAAAAAATTAAATAGAAAACATGGCATAGTATACACAAAGGGCTTCTTTATTAGAAAGTTATTTAGGGGGTTTCTTGAAAAAATTACCAGAAAAGAAACAGCTGAAATGACTTGTAGGATATGTGAGTAAGCAAAATTTTCTAAGAAATTCTAGGAAAATGAGATAAGGAGAAGGTTATTTGTGTGTGTTAGTTATTATGTGGGTATGTTTTCTTTTTCAAAAATAATATTTGAGAAGAATATTAGGACACATTATTATTATTTCTTCTTTCATTTTTACAACTCCCAAAGATTTTTTTAAAATATATTTTATTGATTTTTCACAGAGAAGAAGAGAGAGGGATAGAGAGCTAGAAACATTGATGAGAGAGAATCATTGATCAGCTGCCTCTTACACACCCCCTACTGGAGATGTGCCTGCAACCAAGGTACATTCCCTTGCCCGGAATTGAACCCGGGACCTTTCAGTCCGCAGGCTGACGCTCTATCCACTGAGCCAAACCGGTCCCAAAGATTTTTCAATAGTACATATCCTGATGCAGGTCACAAAATTCTTAAAAGGTCAACTTCAATTTTTTTAAATCATGTCAAAAGATAATATTTTATGCAAGTTTTCACAAGATGAAGTAACTCTGTAATCTAATTTTAAAATGTATAAGACAATTTCAGGAAACAGAAATATATATTTTTAATGATACTATACTATAATAGATATGTTTTAGAGATATGCCTCAATTGATGAAAATATTTGAGTGATATGCTGATTTGTATAATTACTTTTTAATTTAAAATCAAATACTTTATTTTAAATTCTTGCTGAAAATCTTTAAAAAAATAAATTCATAGTAGGTAAATGGTAAATTGCCTCCTCCCACAATGACATCAAAATTACAACTAAAGTATAGAACAACCATCACTTAGAACCTAAATTCTGACTGAATGGAAGTCTACAACTCAGGAATTAAAGAAGAAGCTATACCAAGACTGGTAGGAGGGATGAAACATGGAACACATGTGGCAGATAAAATTTGGGAAGGCCTGAGGAGTGAGGAGTCCTCGCCGCAAGCCAGGTCACCCAGCCCATGGTTCCAGGGCCAGGAAGAGAAGTCTCCATTGCTTCTGCTGCAAAATCCAGTGGGTATTGAGACGGAGGTGTTGTTGGTCCTAGAAAATTCCTCTAAAAGGGCCCACTCACAGCCTTAATCAGACTCACTCACTCTGAACTCCAGTCCTGCAGCTTGAAAGGAACCAAAGACATACAAGGAAAACCTGAGTTGTCTGGCATCAGAGCAAGAGCTGAGGGGCAGCTTTATCCCAGACAGACAAGCTGGCAGAGACCATTGTTCCTTCGCAGAGCCCTCCCTCCAAAGTGCCAGCAGGTGGGCACTGAGACTCCATCAACATGGCTCACACTCTTTGCCCAGTCTTGATGGTTTCCTGAGGCCCACCCACCCAAATTTCAGCCCCCTCCTCCCAAGCTATGTCCAGAGACTCATGCTTCAGTTTTTCCTAAATTCTCTCAAATAAACAGTATCTGGCCTATACCTCTTGCTAAGTGGCCTTAGGACTGACACTAGCAGCATCTGGCCCACGTTGGGCATCTCCATGTAACAGCCAAGTAACAGCCATCTGCAGATCACTTTTTAGCTCATGCTGTGTGATTCCAGGCAGAACACAGACAGCAGCTGACCTTGGCGTCACCTTCTGGGAACCCCCAGAGCCAGTACACCCAGTGGACACCTTCAGACCACATTAAAACATCACAACCAACCAACCAACTAGACAAGTGACATACTCGGCAGACAGACTCAGCTGGCATTGGAGTCCTGCTGAAGTAAGTACTGCTCTATGGAGTGGGCCCCTGCACAGCTGTTTCCACAGTGGTTGGAAGTTTGTCGTTGGTGGCCTAGGGTAAATCTCTCTCACTGATGTGCCAACAGCAATACAGGCTCAACTACTAGAGGAGGGTGTACATAACACACACAGGGGCACACCTTAAGTGCCTAGCTTAGGTGGTTGGCTAGGCTGTGCCACTGGACCCTAGAACACCTACTACATTAGGCCACTCTACCAAGCAGCTGTAGCAGTTATACCTAATACAAGGAAAAAGAACAGAGGGAAGCCCCCCAAATGAAGACACAAAGAAACATGTCCAAAATGAAAGAACAGAACACAACCCCAGAAAAAGTACTAAATAAAATGGAAGCAAACAACCAAGTAGGTGCAGAGTCCAAAGGTTATAAGGATACTTACTGAACTTTGTGAGAGCCTCAACAACATAAAAAAGGACCAGTTAGAAATGAAGAATATACTAACTGAAGTGAAGAATAATTTACAGGAATCAACAGTAGAATAGAGGAAGCCAAGGAAGCCAAGAATCAAATCAGCAAGTTGGAATATAATAGAAAACAACAACAACAACAACAACAACAACAACAAATTACAACAACAAAAAGAATATTTAAAAAAATTAGGTTAGTGCAAAGAGCCTCTAGGACAACTTTAAGCATACTAACATTTGTATCGTGGGGGTGTCTGAAGGAGAAGAGAGAGCAAGAAATTGAAAACTTATTTGAAAAAATAATGATGGAAAACTTCCCTAATCTGGTGAAGCAAATAGACATAAGTCCAGGGAATGCAGATGGTCCCAAACAAGATGAACCTAAATTGGCCCACACCAAGATGTTCATAATTAAAATGCAAAAGGCTAAAGGCAAAGAGAGAATCTTAAGGGCAGCAAGAGAAAAAACAGTTCGCTACCTTCAATGGAGCACCCATGCAACTGTCAGCTGATTTCTTAACAGAAACTATGCAGGCCAGAAGGGAGTGGCAAAATTTTTTTAAAGTGATGAATAGCAAGGGCCTACAACCAAGATTACTAAACACAGCAGAGTTATCATTTAGAGTCAAAGGGCAGATGAAGAGCCTCCCAGACAAGAAAAAGCTAAAGGAGTGCATAACCACCAGTGTTATATGAAATGTTTAAGGGTCTTGTTTAGGAAGAAGAAAAATAAAAAGATTAAAAATTGAACAGTAAATGGCAATAAATACATATCTATCAACAATTGAATCTGAAAACCAAATAAACGGAACAGAAACAGACTCAGAGACACAGAGAACAGTTTGATGGTTGCCAGATGAGAGGGGACTTGGGAGGATGGGTGGAAAAGGTGAACAGATTATAAAGTACAAATTGATTGTTACAGAATAGCATTGGGAATATAGTAAAAAAATATCCTAATAAGTATGTATAGCTCCAGATAGGTATGATATTTATTGGGATGATCATTCATTAGTAAGTTATGTAATATCTAATCATTGGAGTGTACACCTGAAAGTAATGTTATAATGTATGTCAATTGTAATTAAAAAATAAAAATGATTTTAAAATAAAAATTAATTCATAATCTTATAGTCACAGGACATACAAAAGTGTATTATCTTTCTTTGCCTTCTGTGAATTTCCATTGTCTGATATTGATCTTTCTAAATGTCAATAATCATTGTACTGTCAGAAATTGGGATGAATGTATGTAACTTCAGCACACAAGAGGGAATTCATTATTTGAATAAATCCATAATATAATTTTTCCTTCTCAAGATGTATTTCCTTTATTCTTCTCAAAATAGACTTCTAGCAATGGTATGGGATTGGAAATATTTAAGGTACTCTAATTCATTAGGTGTTTGTTACAATAAGATTTTGCTGTATTCTTGATGGAATTTTGGTGAGTATAGGAGGTAGACTGCTGAGGCCTCATACATCAGCTGTCAGTGATTCACCCAACAAGATGTGGCTCGTGGTTGGGAAATGGCTAAGAGGAAGTATTTGGGATGTTTTGATGGGCCTTGAATGATGGTAGTCTATTTAGCGTCCAAGCACTGTAACCTCTGGCTTGACTTTGGAAATTGGAATAGAGATATGGTGGGACTGCAACAGCCAGGAAATCTGATCAGATAGACAGTTGTTGATTGGTTCTGGAATCAACATGCTCTGCTTTGATCAGGCTGAAACTGGCTCTCTGACATCTGAGGGGTCCTGGATTTAAGAGGCACATTTTTATATAGTGGTGCTTCTGAATGAAGGACTCAATTTGAGATCCTAAAGGAGACATTAGGGCCCATAGGTACTGGCTGAATTTAGAATGGGGACTCAGACACTCAGTAGAATTCCAAATGTAAACTATACAGTAGAAAATCAATGCACAAACTTTTTATTAACGTGGTGAAAGGAGATTATGGTGAAAGTATGTTCCTAGTTATAGAAGCACTGAAAAATATGTACATTTTAAAAAGTAACTAACCGAACTTGAACGAAAGAAAGTTCAAGTCCTTGGTACCAGGAAGGAAGAAGGAATATAATGATCTGGGCGAAGATGAAGCCAAAGGCCTCATAGTGGATTCTCAGTCAGACTGAGAGTTGGGACTAAGGTCCAGTTCAGAGACAGGAGATGTGGTCCCAGGCTTGTGTGAGACAGGCCCTAGGACATTTTCCTCCATCGATGGGAGTCTAGAAGGGCTGCTCCTTGGATGAAGTAGGACTCCATAAACTCTGTCCTTTGGGGAGAGTCTGGGGAGACTTGGGTAAATAAATCTTCAAGGAATTGGAAACTTAAGTTGGCACACACAGGTGTGAATCCAGAATTTACACCACTCCTAAGGTACAAGAATTCCAAATTGAGACATTAATACTATTATTGGCATCAGAATTCCTGAATCTCCCAGGCCCTGGAAGAAGCAGGAATCAAACAGCTCTGAAAGAACCATCCCACAAAACAGGCACATGTAAATTAAAAAACAAACAAACTAGAAAATAGTTCTCCATGAGGGAGAGAAAATAGTTGCAATAAACATGAGAATTTATACTAAAAACTGGATTATAGAACAATCTGAAACATAATGGCACATTTAAAAAACTTAAAGAGATGACAAGTAAGACTAAAACCTATAATAAAAAATTAAACAGAGTAGTGTGGACAATGAAAACACATAGTTATAAAGGGAATATAATAAGTAAAATGAAAACTCATACAAACATTAACTTGCAAAATAGTCCCAGCTAAAGAGATGATGAGTGGATTGGGTGCTAGTCTGAAAAAAATCGATGAGAATGTAGCACAGGAAGATAAAGAAATATATAAAACCGGTTGGGTCCCTTAGCCTGCCTCTCTGACATCTGAGAGATCCTGGATTAGGAGAGGGTGCAGGCAGGACGAGGGACCCCACCAGAGCACAATTGGGATGGGGAGGGATTGCAGGAGGGCTCCAGGGCATGTCTGGATGTCTTGCCTTGCCCTATTGGCCAGACCCCATCAGCAAGCTAACCTACTGATCAGAGCGTCTGCCTCCTGGTAGTCAGTACGCATCATAGCAACTGGTCGAATGGTCAAATAGTTGGACACTTAGCATATTAGGCTTTTATTATATAGGATAATATTAGGCTTTTATTATATAGGAGAGATGGATGATAGATAACAAGCCCTAGTATAGGAATTCTAAAAGCATAACATTAAGATAATAATAAGGAACAAGCATGGTTGTAAATTTTCTAGACCTGAAGCAAGACAGGAGACCTCAGTTTAACAGAATATAGCAACATCTGAGTGATATACAAATCTAAATTCTTCAGAAATAAGCATCAAATCTTAAACGCTATCAGAGAGAAACAGAAGAAAGTCTAAAAGAAATACAATTAGACTGAAAGCAGTTTTCTCACTGAAAAACCAAATGTCTGGAAATAATAAAATGCATTTTTAAATGTTGAAGTATAAAAAGGCCAAGGGTGTTTGTCTACTGCTTGATTCTAGGCTCAGCCATATGACTTGCTGTGGCCAACAGAATGAACTGAAAATGACAATATGCCTGTTTCAAACCTAGGCCTCAATTGTGAGTTTCGTCTGTGCTGAAACCAATGCCATGGGAAGAATGTGCCTGGGCCATCCCAGTGGTCCTGGGCATATGAGAGACAAGAAAAGCAGAGCATGGAGGAGATGAGCTGACCCACAGGGCCATGAGAATAAATCATCGTTTTCCAAGTTCTTGAGTTTTTGGGTGGGTTATTGTATTATTTTCCCATTATTGAAGTAACTAACACAAATTCTTTTGTAGTTCTGGAGGTCCAAAATGAGTCCTAAAATCAAACTGCTATAAAAAAAAAATCAATGAAAACATATTTTTAAAAGGTTTATAAGGCAATTAACAGGTGGAAATTATCAAGAAGCATTATATAAA